ACAGAGTTAGAACGAGTTAAAACGAGTCATAAGGAAAATTAAAATTTCAGCTTTCAAGAACAAAAAAAAAACGATTTTTCAGAAAACACCAAATCTAAGATCCCAAAGAATCCTTAAAGAAAAACTGTTCGAAAATTTCTTTTCAAAAAATAGTAGCTCAGATACCACTTGTTAAGTTGAAGGATCGTTAAGTCTCAAAAATGAATCGCTTTGCAGTAAAAAATAGATTTGCAGAAAATTAAAAATTGAACACGAAGATATGTTTTACCCTAAAAAGGGCCCGGATGTTCGGTCTTGCCACCTAATCACCCGTTGAGCATCACCAAAAGGTGATAAAGCTCAAGATCCACTAAGTATCAACCAAGAACAGTACACCATGTACGAAGAAACCAAAGGTTTCTTCGAATATTATTTTGCCTCTATTCAAAACTGTAATCCAACTCACTCTCAATCACTAACAGACTATACAACACAATCAGAAACCACACTAAGATTACAGGTTGAGAAATCACCAAGAACATATCGAATTACAATAACGTAAGAACCCTAATCTATCACTCAGAGAAAAGGAAAGAGAGACGAAAGGTTGAGAGACTTCGAATGATCTAGAATTGGGGCCAAAACCAAGTAAGTATCTTATCAGTCAACCATCTAAGGGTGAGAGTGAAGCCACATGTACGGCTAAACCTCAACCATTTAAGAGGCAAAGGCGTGTTTCTCTAAAAACACGATTTACAACCCAAACTTAATTCCAAACAGACCAAGCCCAGAAGTCTCAATCTGGGCCAGAAAGAAATGGTGAGGCAACCCAACTAATATAACAATGACAATTAAGTAAAGAACAAACCTTGATTGCAGATTTAACCATCGGTTACTTCAACCTGAAAGGTAACTTTTTCGAGAAATCAACTGCAATAATATCGAGGTACACATTCAATATCAAATGCAAACATCTCAATACCCAAACCAATTATACCCCAACCAATGTATATTGTCTGCATCAAGAGTTAAAAACGAGTTCAATTAATCAAAAGTTGTACCTCAGAGGTTTTACAGGCCTGATAAAAGCCGTAACAATATCGTAACTTTGGAAGTAGAGAGAATGTCTTTAATAACCTATGCAAATGCTGTTGTTCAGTCTTGCACTTAAGGACATGGACAAGACCTGACCTGGCTTTTGCTAAGTGTCGTGACCATATTCATGGCTTATCCAGGAGAAATCCATTGGGAAGCCGTGAAAGGACTGCTCAGGTACATAAAGAGAAAATCTAATCTAGGTATAGTATTTAACCAAAAAAAAAAAAAAAAAAAAAAA